GCAGGGTGGCTCCGCATTTACCCCACGACGTCCCCGACCCCCTCCTCTTGCAGCCCCGGGGGAAGGTGTCCTTGGAGAGCTGCGGCCTCCGGGGAGCCGGCAGTCAGTCCAGGCGTCAAGGGAGCGGAATGTGAAACAGAAGGAATGAGACATAAATTTTATATATATATATGTATATGTATATATATACACACACTCACATATATATACATACATACACACACACACACATACATACACTCATTATTCATTCTATGACTTGGTTTCTTAGTGGAGTGTGCGCGTGTGCGTGTGCTGAGCAGGAGACAGGGGTGGCTTTTGCATGAACTGAGCCAGAGGGTGCCTCTGGCCGGTACTAAAAAGCAGACAAGTCAACAGCAAGAATAAACGTCAAGCGTGTGACACTCAGTAACCATGGAAAGGGGGCGGGTGGAGGAGAGGGACGGTCCCTGCTAGCATGTCAGTATTTTGATGCTCACCTACACCCTGTGCTTTCCTTTTGTGTGTGATTGTATCTTTATTACTGACTTTATAGCTGCAGGCAGATAACCGTGGATAAGTTGTCCTGGAAAGCTGGCTGTCAAAACCTAGACCTTAATCTAGCACTGTGTTGTCTAATGCGGCAGCCGTTAGCTGTATGTGGCCATTTAAGTTCGATTAAACAGGTGTCAGGCACCCCTTTCCGCGGTCACCCCAGCAGCATTTCAGGTGCTCGGGTGCAGCTAAGGTTGTGTGCTCCGCACAGTGAGTAAGGCAAACAGAAGGGCCCCATCATCACAGAGAGTTCTGGATGCTGTCGGGGTGGACAGGTAAAGCTGGAATATGCCTCGGGTGTGTTTCTCATACCAAGTATTAATGTATTGTTTTTGAAATTGATGCTTTAAAATGATAGAGTAGCAAACTTTGTGCCCACAGTCAAAGGGTGATGAAGGTGTCTGTCGTTTTTTTCTCTTGTCCTCAAAGTAATCAACTGATCTAGTTGACTGCTAATAAACACTATGAAAAAAACTAATATTTAGATTGAAGAGAAGTTTAACTTAATCAGTGCTCTATTGCTCAGTTTAGGAACACAGCATGGCATTGCTAACAGAGCCCTCCAGATTGTGGACCAGCTGTAGGGCGCCTCTCTAATGATGATGATGATCATATAACCTTTATTGAACAACCTACTAAGTGTAAAGTGTGCCAGCCAGAATATAGTACAAATCTTCAGGTGAGGTCTAAAAAATGCTAAAAACAGGTGGAGTAAGACCTCCTTTGCTTTGATACCATTTGAGCAGACAGGTGTGTCATGATTTTACTTACATTCTTTTTTTTTTTTTTTTTTAATATATTTTATTGAGTTTTTACAGAGAGGAAAGGAGAGAGACAGAGTCAGAAACATCGATGAGAGAGAAACATCGACCAGCTGCCTCCCGCACACTCCCCACCGGGGATGTGCCCGCAACCAAGGTACATGCCCTTGACCGGAATCGAACCTGGGACCTTTCAGTCCACAGGCTGATGCTCTATCCACTGAGCCAAACCGGTTTCGGCCTTTTTTTTTTTTTTATGTAGCCTGAGATTCCATTAGATTTTTGGATGGGGATATACTTTTGATTAATTCCGAGTATGAAGTGCTCTGAAAATCCAGGTCTTTTAGAGAAGAAATAGATGATAAAGCATCAAAAGACTTTAGGCCAGATTTCCTAGATTTGAACCCCGATTCTGCAATTTTTAGCTATTAAATCTCTGACCAATTACAGCTACCTTAACCATAAAATAGGAATACTAATTTATAGGATATGAATGAGAATTAAATGTGCATACATAATGAATTACAGCGTCTTCTCATCTTGCTGGTGACCTCTGTAATCATGGGGGTACCCTTGTACTCAGTTCTTGGGCTTTTTCTCTGTGTACCTTTATCCCTTAGTGATCTCTTTCCGACCTGTGGCTTTACTTACTACCTGTGCTTTGACAACCTTCAACATTTGTGTATATAACCTGGACATATACCGCAAACTTTAGACTTAACAATTGCATGCATAATTTCATTTCGGATATTAATAGATATTTCAAACCTAAAATCTCAGGATCTTTGCCCCTAAGCCTGTTCTTCCTACTGTCTTCCTCATCTCAGTTAATGAAAACTTCATTTTTAGTTGCTCAAGTTAGGTATCTTGAAGTTACCCTTTAGTCCCCTTTCACACCTCCTGTCTTAATCCATCAACAAAGTGACTTTACGTTCATGTATCTAAAAGTGATCAGAATAATCATTGAAGAATGTAAGCCAAATCATGACACACCTGTCTGCTCAGAACTCCAATGGTTTCCCATCTCACGCAGCGTAAAGCCAGAGGGCCTCAGGCCCCGCACTATCGCCACCTTTTCCACCTTGTTGCTTTTCTGCCTACCTCCTTTTTCTCGTTTACTCTGCTCCAGCCACACCAGCCTTCTTCAGATTGCTCATGGTAGGCAACTTCACCTCAAAAGCTTTGCAGGTACTGCCTTGGAGGAACAATCTTCATGCAGATATTTGTAGGATTTATTACCTCACCTGTTTCAAGTCTTTGCTCAAAAGTTGCCTTTTCAATAAAGCCTTTTCTGACCATCTTGTTTAATAATCAAACACATTATTCATTTTGGTTTTTATTTGTCTTCCACCACTTCAGGTCCTTCTAACTATCACCTTATTAAATAACTAGAGGCTCAGCGCACAAAATTCATGCACAGGTAGGGTTCCTAGCCGCTGCCAGTGGGGCCTTTCTTCGTTCTGTGCCGTGCCGCCCCCCTGGTGGTCAGCACATGGCATAGTGAGCGATCGAACTCCCAGTCCATCAAATTCACGAGGGGACACTTTGCACATTAGGCTTTTATATATATGGATAATAATAATCAGTTTTTTAAAAAATAATCTTCCACTCTCTCCAAAACCTTATATTCCTTTTTACCTGCTTTGTTTATTATATTCTTTTGCACTTACCACTAATTTTTGTTTTGTTTTTTAAATGTTTTTATTGATTACTTTGAGAGAGAGAGAGGAAAGGAGAGGGAGAGATAGAAACATCGATGAGAGAGAAACATCGATCAGCTGCCTCCTGCATGCCCCCCACTGCACTGGGGATCCAGCCTGAAACCCAGGCATATGCCCTGTCTGGGAATTGAACTGGCCACCTCTTGGGGCATGGGACAGTGCTCAATCACTGAGCCACACCTGCTGGGCCCATCTAATGTTTTGTGCTGTCCAGCCAGCCAGCCACTAACCACTTGTGTCTGTTGACTGCTTAAAATGTTGTCTAATCAAGGAAATTGATTTTTAATTGCATTTAACTTTAAATCTAAAAACTGATACTCAAGTCAGTTTCTGGAAAATATTTAAGTATATTTGAACAACTGGGTATGTGAATCTACTTTTTCACCTGTAAATTTTATGAAATCTAAATTCAGATTAAGTATTTCCAATGAAAATTTAGCATCCAAATTGAGATGTGCTGCAAGTGTATAAAATACACACTGGACTGCAAAGACTTAGTAAGAAAAATGTAATAATATCAGTTTTTTATATGAATTACATGTTGAAACAGTAATATTTTGGCTATATCATGCTGAAAATGTATTATTAAAAATAACTTTCCCCTGTTAACTTTTTAATGTAGTTACTAGAAAGTTTTGTGTAGCTTATATTACATTTTTGTTGGGCAATGTTGCTCTACTTACTATAACGGAGTTGTGTGTTGTGTATCTCAGTACTTAGAATGGGAGCTCCATGTGGACAGGGGTCTGTTCCGACCCATACCCAATCATTAGCTATCCAATATATTTTATAGAATAAATGAATACATTTGAATGAATTTCCCTTTAAAAACAACTACTACTAATGAAAATTAAGAGGAAAACAAAATTTACCTGCATGTCCTAGAACCTAAACAAATAGTTATTAATACATATTGAATGCTTATAAAGAAATAAGATCCAATTTTAAGAGGGCAAAAGATACAAACTTGCAGAAGTAGAAATCCAGATGCCTAATAAATAACAAAGTTCAACTTTCCAATAAACCCAAACTAGAATGTCATTCCTGTGCCTAGGAAATTTAACAAAGATAAAAGGAAAGTTAAGCTCTGGAAAATAGTATTGTAATCTAAACAAACCTTAAATTTTGAATATTCTTTGACCTAGTTTTTTTTATAGCTAGGAATTTATTTTTAAGGATGTAATCACAGATCTTTAAAAAGATTTTTCTATAATGTTCATTGCAGCTTTATAAAACAAAAATTGAAATCAAACATATAGCATTCAGGTTGCTAGAGTAATCCAAATAGGAAGGGGTTCAGGATAGTAGCTTTAATAGGAAAATATTTTTAAATTCTGTGGTCAAAAACTGTTAAATAAACCAAATTTTTATTTTCAATTAATGTGTTATGAATAACAGATTGTATGTATATGAAATAAAATTTACTAAAGATATCTATAATCCTTCTGAAGTTTTTTATTTAAACTCCTACCCTGCTATTTAGCAATAAACTTGTCTTCTCAGGGATTTGAGGCTTAAACTGAAGAATTTGTTCAAAATTTTATGACCAGAAAGTAATGACAGATTTGTAGATTTCATTTACAGTATATTAACCATAGGTCATAACATCTCAACTTCCTCTACAATAAAAATAGGGAACTATTTTGTGGAAATAGTTTTGTATAAATGTGTATTTAATGTTTGTTTCATCTTTCTTACTTTTCAGAATTATCATGAAATTATGACTCACCATCCTGAGAATTATCAGTGGGAAAACTGGAGTCTAGAAAATGTTGCCACCATTTTAGCCCACCGATTCCCCAATAGTTATATTTGGGTGATAAAATGTTCTCGAATGCATTTGCACAAATTCAGCTGCTATGACAATTTTGTGAAAAGTAATATGTTTGGTGCTCCAGAACACAGTACTGACTTTGGAGCTTTTAAGCACCTTTATAGCTTATTAGTTAATGCTTTTAACTTATGTCGGAACAGTTGGCTATCAAAGAAGAATGTGAAAGACTTGAATAAGGATTCCAAAGCATCTAATTGTAGATCCAGTTCTTCTCATACTAATGGTTGCCAGGGAGAAAAAGAGAACCCCTGTGAAAACTTCGATGAGTCTGCCCTGAGTTTTTATCCACCATCATTAAATGGTGCTTCTTTTACTTTGATTGGATTCAGCAAAGGTTGTGTTGTTTTGAATCAGTTGCTTTTTGAATTGAAAGCAGCCAAGAAAGACAAGAACATAGAAGCTTTTATCAACAGCATAAGAACCATGTACTGGCTGGATGGTGGACATTCTGGAGGAAGCAATACTTGGATTACTTACCCAGAAGTCTTGAAAGAATTTGCACAAACAGGGATTGTTGTTCACACCCATGTAACACCTTACCAAGTACGTGATCCAATGAGATCTTGGATTGGAAAGGAGCACAAGAAATTTGTTCAGATACTTGGAGATTTTGGTATGCAGGTGACTAGCCAAATTCATTTTGTAAAGGAAGCTCCTTGCATAGAGAATCACTTCAGGGTTCATGAAGTATTTTGAGACTACAAGAATATTAATGTAATACTTGCTCAGTGGAAGAGGAAAAGCACTTTGAGTTTTAGAAATTCAGATAACGAGATGTAATTCATAGATAATACATCCATTTTTAGGGAGGGAACATACATTCCTAAAATAGGCGTATAATGTGCAATAGTATTTCTTGCCTCTGAATGTGAACTTTTAATTTGGACTGGATCAGAATTAGTTTGAAATTTAAAAGATGGTTTGTGATAATCCTAAGAGGAGATATATAAAACCCTTAATGATGAAAGTTACAATATAGTCCTTATAAAAGGTAATTAAAATTGTTATTGTTGGAAATAGTTTGTTTTCTGGGTAATGTTTAAAACTGATTTTGGTGGCATTTTAACAATAGCTGGCGATTTTGGCACTGAACACTTTTGAGTAGAAACACTCCATTTCTCTTCAAACAAAGCCAAAGTACATGGATATTTTCCATCATTTTGGAGTAACTACCCTGCCTTTTTGTTTTGTAAATTCATGGAATCATTTCAGTGTGCCACCAAGTGTTTTTTCTCAACTCAAAATATATTTGTTTCCAAATAACCAAGAATGTGCAGTAGTATAAAGTTTGGTTTTTAAAAACATTACACTTAAGCATTGTGGCTAAATTTTTAATTGACAACTTTTGGCTAGAACATTTTGGAGTTTTTTAAATCTTGGCTGCAAACTAGTTCTTTGGGGAAAATTGTTTTAAAATGAACATAATTCTGTATATTGGGTAAAAATATGTTACAGATTGAAATTTTTTTCACATCAGTCTTTTGAGAGAGATCAACTTAGGTAAAATAAATATATAACACTATTTGTTAGTGTTTGGTTGACAAGGGGATGGATTCTGTGGATCTGTCAGTGTTTTCTCCAGAAGCATGATTTTGCCTGCCAAAAGAAAGCGGCTCTCTTTGGCCAGAATGCAAAAATTATATTGCTATAAGAAAAGTTACAAGGGAAAGTTTGAAGACACAATTTAATTTTGGCTCAAAAAGTGAATTTGCTTAACACTGCTACATAATTTGGTGAGGTTTCCTTCTTCCTGTTTCTCTTGACCTAGATAAATACATTTTGAGAAACCAAGATCTAATTAATATCAACCAATATTAAAACATAGCTGTGTGATTAAAATAAAAGGTGAGTGGTCACTGTATTTATAATTAGCATTTCAGGGAATGAAATAAAGCAGGGAATTAACACTGCTTCCAGACTGGAGAAAAAAGACTGAAGCTTTAGTTTATAAAACAATATAGTCAAAATGTTAATATTTTTGTTTTTCCCCCAGAATTGTATTTTAATGATTATAAACACATTCCAAATATTCAGGGACTTATCAGAAAGGATTCTTATCAAATGTGTAAAAATAACATCCTTTAATTCTATAAATTACAAAATGGTATCAAGGTGGTTTTTGTTTTTTAAGGACAAAATAGTTTTATATTGCTTCAATTTCTTTAAATACCTGCTGTTTCTTTTGAGACCAAAAATTCATAACAAGGAAATGAGTCAGCCTGATTCCAGCATTTTATTACCTTAAAGCACCATAATTGGCTTCTTTTAATGTGTCCTAATCCTTGGTTAAGTTAATGTGTATCTGATGTAAACTAGCAAAGTTACTGAATGCTCTAATGAGGGGAAAGAAAGGAATTTCTATGCTTAAAGTGGAAAAATTAACTTTCAGCA